TATATATATATGTATTTTTTTGTTCTAATGAAATTTTAAGAACGTCGTCGTTCGAGGGATTTCCTTGCCGGGCATCGTGTGTAATATCGCGGGTAAAGCACTGCGCAGCGACCCTCGTGCAATTGAGACGCGCGAGGGCAACGAATCTCTCTCCCTTCCATCAGGAGAAAAAAAAGAAAAGAAAATATTACCGTCTTCCACGCGCGGCACACGTCGCGTCTCTCTTTTTTTTTTTTCATGCGCTTTCGAGACACCGATCGGGTATACGTATATATACATATACTATACATTGCACATATACATGTATGCGGGCAAAAGGGGCGCCCAAGACGTATGGACGCGGAACACCTGCTCTCTCGGGTGGCGCGCGCCCGTGCATTCAACAGTCACGACCAACCCTATATTGCTCATGTATACATATATATATATAAGAACGAGAAAAAAAAAATGGGGAGGTAGGGTGGGTTCCTGCAGGTGCGTCGGCAGCGGCTGTACGGTGCCCCGAGGATTTCCTTGGTCGCGTGNCCTACAAACCGAACACTTGGGGCGCTACGGAACTTTTTATAATACCGATCGGCGCGTTCGGATTCATACCCAAAGTTCGTCGGGTGCATATACGTACACCATATATATATACCCACGTGTATATATGTTATACCGACAAAAGTGGAGGAGAGAAGGCGAGCGTCGGTGCAGCTGTCGCCTCGCGCGCGCGCGCACGCCTCCCCGTATCCTGTATACACGTATACCGCGCGTGTATATAAAAAGCCCTTCTCCGGAGCCAACGAGCCTCCAGTTGCGACCACGAGCCGCTTCGATCAACGTTGATCTCAGTTTGCGCGTACCCTCTAACCTGCATACGTATATGCTTTGATATGACGAAAAGAGCGCGCTTATCTGATCCTGCTGTGTAGCCCGGCTCGTATATAAGCATCATCGTGATTTATATATATATATTCTGTATCCATATTTATAACGATACTTGGAGGCGCGATAGTGGGGTAGAGTCCGAGAGATCGGTAAAGGAACGTGGGTGATCATGGGGCCGAGAGTGTGCCGGCTGGTCGCGCTAGTGGCTGTGGTGTCGAGTTTCCTCGTCGGTGGAAGCTTTGGTGATCAGGAGGAGCTCGCCAACACCGTCAAGTTTCTCCAGGAGCAGGTGAGCGCGCTTCTCGAGCACCGGCAGGAGGACTACAACGCCCTCGAGGAGAGCCTCAAGAGATCGGTAGAGAAGAACACCGAACTCGTCGTCCTCAAGAACGAGATCAAGCAGCTCCGGTGAGTCTTTTACGTGCCTTTTTGTTTATGTATGTGTTTTGTTCGCGAATGCTTGCACATTTATTTTTTTTTTTTTTCCGGTGGTATCGGTACCACGGAATCGGGGTAGAAGCTCTCGATATCTTATGTCTACAAGTATGCATCAACTGGGTGTATACGTATAATAAAACGTCAGAGAGCGAGAGCGGGTGGTTGGGGGAGAGGTTGAAAAAGCACACTCGAGTGCCGATCTGTTTGCTCCGAATTGATTTTCCGCTTTCTTTGCCAACCGCCGCACTTTTCGATGTTATCGTTTTTTTCCCTCGTCCAGCATATCGTGGATTGATCCTATTTTTTTTTTTTGGTTTTTTAATTACCCCGTGCGGCTTTAAAAGTCCACTGTGCACTCGATGAGCAGCGCGAAGTACACACATACAACGGCCCGTGTTTTTTCATCGCCGCACTTGAGCAAAAACCTTTTATCCCGTGGGTAAACACCGAGAGCATACCAATGTATATATGTACGCATCCGGAAGAGGTGGAAAAATCCCCCGTACCGATCCGTGTCCGCGGAAAAAAAGGGTAATCCTTCGAACACCCTTAAAACCAAATCTCGCTCGGCAAACGAAATCTCTCGAGTCAACATCCATCGCCCATCATATACTTATGTATAATACATTTGTGCGCTCTTTGAAAAAATAAATATCCGTCCCATCAGAAGTAGGTGTGTACTCGCGCGCAAGAGGGAGAGAGAATGAAAACGTTTATCCTCCGGAAAATTGCTTTTGTAAAAGAAAAAAAAAAAAAGAAAGGCAAAGAGCCTTTAAAAACATCCGCCCTGCTTTCGATCGGGTACTCCCCGGCAAATCGCAGTTTATTTCCACTACACCAACGCGAGCGGTCTTATTAAAAAAAAGGAGGGAGACTTTGCGCTCGACACCAGGTGTAAAGCTCCATTCGGTATATATGTATAATGTGGTACGCAGCTTTCTCAAAAACAAATGTACAGGGACCCCTTCGTTCACTCCCGCACACTCTTCATTTTCATTAGAGGCACGTCCGCATATACGTACACTGAAGTATATATATACATGTGTGCATGATATATGTGCCTAACACAGTCGACAGGCAGAGACAGGCACGGGGTGCAAAAAGAAAGAAAGGGATGAGAAACGGCTGCTGCGCGCTCGTATAATTTGAATAATCGGCGCTCGCCCGCCACGCGCCCTACTTGTATATATATATATGTATTGCACCCAAATAACACATGTATAGCTCGAGGGTCCGAAAACAAAGGGGATAATATACGTCGCTTTATACCTATACATATACATTGTAACGCAACCCACATGGTCCAGCTGATGAAAGTTATTCCATCACATAAGTACGTGTGTATATCTGTGTATACAACGCGAGCAGATGCTGCCACCCCATACAATAAGTAAGTGGTGTGTTGAAGAGAATACTTACGGTTTGATACCACAGCTCGGCAACGACAACAGCCGCCACTGGTGCCGGAAACACCGTAGCTTTCGTTGAATTGTAATACTTACCTACGAACGCGTGTATAGGATGTATATACAATACACCCTTGCATCATGTACATATACATATACGCTCCGGTGGTTTTGCATTGTGGTATATACTATACATGCACTTGTGGTGCAGGTATAGGTAAGGTACACGGCGAGACAACAGCTGGTGCGGATCGGTTTCGGGGCCGTTTTGCAACTCTCTCTCTCGCTGTACCATCACGCACGCGTCCTTCGCCCTCTTGTGTTACACATTATTATACACCCGCGCAAACACGCCAGCTTATTTTAATATGTACACGTACACTCGAGCTCGTGTTATATTATATACCGATAGTTCTTTTTTTTTTTTTTGTTTTGTTTTTTTTTTCACTCAACTTCATTGTTTGCTGGCTGCGCCAATGCATATACATGTATGCACAACATAGGGTGCACGGACGGCGGGAATGAGAATATCCCGAGTTTTTCCACGGCGCCGGTTGGCTGCAACTTTTGGCTAACGAGCCCCATTACAACCGGCCTACAAACCGAACACTTGGGGCGCTACGGAACTTTTTATAATACCGATCGGCGCGTTCGGATTCATACCCAAAGTTCGTCGGGTGCATATACGTACACCTACTTCGTTTAATTTCCAAACTCGCTCGATTTTACGAGACTAAGAATCCAGAGCCTACCTCCCCATCCCCCTTTTGGCGCGATTATTCATAGTTATTTCGAAGAAACCGATTATTATAACTTTTTCGGCCGTCCAAACTACCTTCGATCGTCGATCCTGAGGGTTTCACCTATCATTCAACTGTACAGCATCGGTCCGAACTAATGGAAATTTCATCCATCGAGCGAAGCGTGTAAACATCCCCCTGCAGCCATAAGTTGTCGAAAAATTCGAGCCGATGTATGGGTCATAAAATTCATGCGATGCACCTTGAGGTGCTTCATTCAAATCATCATCATCATCACCGCCACTGGGCACACGTATTTTACATGTAGGTGTTTATACACAGCACCGCCATATATTACATATGTATTGTATGACACGACGCCCTACAGTTACGATATCTCACATTATCGGTATATAATGTACGTATACTCATAAAGTGTAAGACGAGACGAAAGAATTTGACGCGCCTCTTGTAGTCCTCGGGTTAGTCACTTCACTGAGCAACGGTTATTTCTCAGCTGTACGTGTATATATAAGTTACCCTCTTGTGCGTTGTATCTACCTACCTACCCCCATATGTATATATAGACACGTGTAGGCGCTGCAAATTACATACTTTCGGTAATTTTATACCTCCCTCGCGCACACGTATATATATATGTATATAATATACTGACAACCCTCGACAACGTCGACGACGTATACACAAGTAGCACCAGAACAAGGAGACAGGTTAATTCGCGATGACATCGACCTCCCATCCCCCGGCTCTTGCTTCATCCCCTATGTGCTTATACCGAGCGAGGCTTGCGATACAAATATAGGGTTGCTAATATTATATCATCATCGTCGTTGTCGTACGTGATTTCGCGACTGTTTTCCTTTGCTCGCATACAACGTACATACATTTATACACTTTTCTTTTTTTTTTTTTTTTTTTTTTTTGATACGTACATCAACCATCTCGAGCCGTGCACGGTATCAATTAAATCCTTGCGGTTACGATAAAACGAAACGCCGTTCGCCCCTTGCCAAGTGCACATTATATAAGGACCTCGTGTGTCATGTGGCCGTTCATATGGCACGATCCGGGGTACCATGGATTTTACCACTTGTGCGAGGCCGAAAATTCGCGTAATTTTCAACCCCCCACGCGCTTTTCCTTTGTCGCTCTCGCTTCGGGTATTGTGTCGGGGTGTACAAAAAAATCTTTCCCCCCCCCCTCAAACGAAAAAAAAGAATTCCAATCGGTTGGTGTATTTTTAATCGACCGGCTGACCTGGTGGGCTTTATTGTTTCCAAAAATTTACCATTACGTATACGTGTATACATGTCAAAGGTCGAAGTTTTACCAAGTGCTGCTTGACGATTGGCTTTATTTTGTAATATCTTGTTGAAAATCGGTGCACGCGAGCACAATAATCACCGATCCATCACCAGCTCGTTCGGTGTACAATAAGACTTACCGTGACGATACCACACAAAAGTATGGATGTAAGTTTCAAAAAAAAAAAAAAAAAAAAAAAAAAAGAAAATGGCATGGCAAAGGCTCGTATAAAACACATTATTCCCCCCGGGCGACTTTTGTTATCCATGTATACCTATACAGGTACGCGCGCCGCTCTCTCAATAACCACTCGATCCATTGCACGGGGGAGGCGAGCGCACACCCCCGTACCTACATATACTCGTGTACACGTAAAACCGCACTATCCTTCTTTTCCCTGTCACATGTGTACATACCTATACCCTAGCGTCTTCTCTCTTGCGGCCTCGCGCACATTAAACTATCAAAGGCGATGTCTGTCAACGTTCCACTCGCACGGCAAACTCTGTATACGTGTACACGTAGATGATACATATAGGCGTATATAGAACGAGTGGAGCGCGAAAAATCAAGGAAATTACGCTTTGCACGGGGAAGTTGTATCGATCGAGTGCGCTACTATACCTGCGCCTCCCTGTCTCTGTGAAGTGCAGGTACTGGATCGGAATAGGGGGATAACAACAATGGGGGGAGGAAAAAAAAAGTATATATATATATATATATATACGCGTCGGTGGTACGCTCGACGGACCGCGACTGACCTATTACACGTATATACGTACAAACGGAGGGTCGGGAGCCCTTCCGAGAGAGGAAGTCGGTCGGGCCGGATACGCGTCCCACCGGAGTGGGTTTTTTTGTTCGTTTGTCGAGGCCTTGTTATTATAATGATTTGTATACTCGATCGAGATGATGCAGTTGCGCACTTGAGGTCGAGAGTATGAAAATATCGTTTCCGCTCCGACTGATGAAAATTCGTTGAAAGAGAGGGACTCATTCGCGCGAACCAAAGTACCGGGAGGAGCCCACTCCATATGTCCCGACGGTCGGTCTTTCCTTTTTGAAATTAGAAAAAAAAAAAAGTAGACACGCGTCCACTTGAAGGTATAGCGATACATCTTCAAATATATTCCACATTCCGCTACTCCCCCCCCCCCCCAAAGTACCTGCTCATTCCGCTAAAATGTTCGAGCGTTAATTGGCTCTTCTAAAACCCTTTGCTTTTCTTCCTCGTCTTCCCTTGGCTCTGTGTGTGCACCCATATACGCGTGCTCACCCCCCCCCCCCATTCATTCCCAACAACTCTCCTACGCGAAAGGAGAACTAATTACCTGATTAAATTTCCCAGGATTGGTCCATTTATAATATGTTACGGGAATTTTAACGTGTTTATTAACACCCGTATTTTTACATCGTATCGCTATCAGATATATTAATATACATACCTCGTGCGTTTTGTAAAAATTAAGTGCAACTTTGTTTGAAATAGTTTGTACCGAAACATTTTCACCCGAGGAATAAAAGCTTTTCAATTAACATAGTTTTGCCGTAAGTGCTCGCAAATACACGATTTTTTGTACGTATATACATTCAAAGAAAAATGCAGAAAGTAATGTTTTTACCAGCCCTTTGCTTTTATTATGGTGTATACATGAAATACCGTACCGATTATATTTGTTTGTTTGCTTTGATGAAATTTTTATTACCGTTCAAGCGAGAAAGAGTAAAGAACATTGAAAACCAGGTTGTTTTTTTTTCTTTTTTTTTCGATACGATAAAAATGTAAAAGCCAAAGTAAACAACATGAAAAATCCTTTCATCCGCACCGAAAGGATTTAATCTAAATTGCGAAAAAGGAAATAACACACTGCACGCGCGTGCACGATAATATCCAGAGGGAAATGGAAGGGGAACAAAAGAGAGAAAAAAAAAAAAAAAAATCTGAGGGTCCGCGGGATTATGAAATAAACGAACGATAACGCAAGGAGATTACTCGACAAAAAGCTGTTCCCCCGCGTGTANTGAACTAAAGTGAAAAGCTGACGTATTTTTGCAAAACTTTGAGCTCATTTATTGCTATTGTTATTAAATTTCTTAAGATGAAAACTATACTAAAACCATCTAGGAAGTATCATGAATCAGTGTGCAAAATTTCAACAAAATCGGTCGAGTAGTTTTCGCGGTTAGCGATTACAACGGTTTTAGCGCTTCTGCTTTATAAATTAGTAAGATTTACTAATAACACGAGCGAGTGTTACAAAAGGTCCTTGTTTAATTTTATAATTATTTGAAATATTAAGTTGCGGACATCACAACCCTATAGAATATGGGGTACGCTTTCGACACTACATTTTCATGTAACAGCAAAAAAGTAAGTGTTTTAATGTATATAATTATCTTTGTGTTATTAAGGCTTGTTCATTAAAAATAATAATAAATTTGTTGCAGGAAAGAGATATCGAGCCTGAGAGCGAGTGGGGGTTCGTCGGCGAGTCCTGTGAGCGGTCCCCTCGTGGCTGGGCCCGCGACGAACAACGAGGCGAAGAACGACCGGCTGCGACTGCGGTGGCTGGGCTCGGCGGTGGCCGAGTTGCAGGCCGAGTTGGCCGAGCTCCTGCGGACGCGGAACATGAGCGAGGAGTTGGCCGAGCGCTCGAGGCTGCGCTCGGAGATCGAGTTGCTGAGGTCGGACGTGGCGGGGGTCGGCCGGGGGGTGCGGGACCTCGGGGCCAGGCTGGACGAGTTGGAGTCCAGTCTAGGTGCCGTTGGCTCCGACTTGGCCGCCAGCAAGCAGAGGACCAGCCAGTTGTCCGTGGCGTTCGCCGACGCGACCAGCCAGGTGATTTTGTTTTTTCCTTGGTTTTTCGGGGATGCCGATTTTTAACGAATTTTCTTGCTCGTTACGCCCCTCGAGAGGCAATGTTGCGGCTGTCGTGGGGCTAACGAAATAAGTTGAAATTGAAAAGAACTGCTCATTGATGAAAAAATCATAAAAGTGCGCTTTTCATCGTTTGCGGATAATAATTGACAAAAGTAGGAGTCACCTAAAACTACACGTTGTGTACACCCGCTTTTATCAATACATGAGGAGTGCTGCATACATTTATTTTGTACAAATTGAAACATATTTTTAAATTAATTCTCATAAATAATTTGCTAATAATTTTTATCAACAATTGAGTTTAACAACTCATAATGTTTGAATTTGACGTGTATAAGTAGAGTCAGACGAGAATGGTAAGACGAGCCATTGACGAGTAACCTAATACATCCTGATTTTTATTTAAAAATCTGTTAATTTTAATGAGCAAGAACTTAATCAATTTAATTTAATTCTGTGCAAATTAAATGAGAGAAAAACGTATTTAAAAAAAAATATATATATCCCCCCGGGCGACTTTTGTTATCCATGTATACCTATACAGGTACGCGCGCCGCTCTCTCAATAACCACTCGATCCATTGCACGGGGGAGGCGAGCGCACACCCCCGTACCTACATATACTCGTGTACACGTAAAACCGCACTATCCTTCTTTTCCCTGTCACATGTGTACATACCTATACCCTAGCGTCTTCTCTCTTGCGGCCTCGCGCACATTAAACTATCAAAGGCGATGTCTGTCAACGTTCCACTCGCACGGCAAACTCTGTATACGTGTACACGTAGATGATACATATAGGCGTATATAGAACGAGTGGAGCGCGAAAAATCAAGGAAATTACGCTTTGCACGGGGAAGTTGTATCGATCGAGTGCGCTACTATACCTGCGCCTCCCTGTCTCTGTGAAGTGCAGGTACTGGATCGGAATAGGGGGATAACAACAATGGGGGGAGGAAAAAAAAAGTATATATATATATATATATATACGCGTCGGTGGTACGCTCGACGGACCGCGACTGACCTATTACACGTATATACGTACAAACGGAGGGTCGGGAGCCCTTCCGAGAGAGGAAGTCGGTCGGGCCGGATACGCGTCCCACCGGAGTGGGTTTTTTTGTTCGTTTGTCGAGGCCTTGTTATTATAATGATTTGTATACTCGATCGAGATGATGCAGTTGCGCACTTGAGGTCGAGAGTATGAAAATATCGTTTCCGCTCCGACTGATGAAAATTCGTTGAAAGAGAGGGACTCATTCGCGCGAACCAAAGTACCGGGAGGAGCCCACTCCATATGTCCCGACGGTCGGTCTTTCCTTTTTGAAATTAGAAAAAAAAAAAAGTAGACACGCGTCCACTTGAAGGTATAGCGATACATCTTCAAATATATTCCACATTCCGCTACTCCCCCCCCCCCCCAAAGTACCTGCTCATTCCGCTAAAATGTTCGAGCGTTAATTGGCTCTTCTAAAACCCTTTGCTTTTCTTCCTCGTCTTCCCTTGGCTCTGTGTGTGCACCCATATACGCGTGCTCACCCCCCCCCCCCATTCATTCCCAACAACTCTCCTACGCGAAAGGAGAACTAATTACCTGATTAAATTTCCCAGGATTGGTCCATTTATAATATGTTACGGGAATTTTAACGTGTTTATTAACACCCGTATTTTTACATCGTATCGCTATCAGATATATTAATATACATACCTCGTGCGTTTTGTAAAAATTAAGTGCAACTTTGTTTGAAATAGTTTGTACCGAAACATTTTCACCCGAGGAATAAAAGCTTTTCAATTAACATAGTTTTGCCGTAAGTGCTCGCAAATACACGATTTTTTGTACGTATATACATTCAAAGAAAAATGCAGAAAGTAATGTTTTTACCAGCCCTTTGCTTTTATTATGGTGTATACATGAAATACCGTACCGATTATATTTGTTTGTTTGCTTTGATGAAATTTTTATTACCGTTCAAGCGAGAAAGAGTAAAGAACATTGAAAACCAGGTTGTTTTTTTTTCTTTTTTTTTCGATACGATAAAAATGTAAAAGCCAAAGTAAACAACATGAAAAATCCTTTCATCCGCACCGAAAGGATTTAATCTAAATTGCGAAAAAGGAAATAACACACTGCACGCGCGTGCACGATAATATCCAGAGGGAAATGGAAGGGGAACAAAAGAGAGAAAAAAAAAAAAAAAAAAAAATCTGAGGGTCCGCGGGATTATGAAATAAACGAACGATAACGCAAGGAGATTACTCGACAAAAAGCTGTTCCCCCGCGTGTACATGCAATACGCGGAACTGAAATCGTATGGGCTCGAATCGATTCGCTATGAATGTTTCTTTCCCCTTTTTATNACTCGTATTTTTCCCCCTTCCAATCATCGGAAGCGCACTTTGGAAAAATATATAAAATTTCGCGGAGAAAAGAAAAGAACAACACTCTTGGACAGTGGAGCGGTGTATGATTAAAAAAAAAAAAAAAAACCTTCCCAGGCATGTCATGCATATAGAGTCTCGATTAAAATGCATACTCCCATCAGATTGGGCTCGGCAATGTTAATGGCTCGGTGGATTATTCAATCGTAGACGAGCCAAGTGCGTTTGAATGATTTATCAGTCGCGGCAAAAGATGTTTGGATAATTCAAGCCCGAGAGGAGGAGGAGGTGGGCCTCTATATGCCGTGGGTAAACGCAACGATCAGTGCTCCCTCGGTTGGTGCAGTAATACACACACACCGTGTTAAATTTATAATCGCGTTTTATACCCTCATACGGTAGCCGTTTTTGCGCTTTAATTATTAATCACGTGATGCTCCTATTTGTATAGCCATTTATGTACGGTTAATCGGCGCGTCTATGCACATTATGGTGTAAGAGATATAGGATGCTTGCATATGTAAAGAGGCAATTAACGAGTGATTCCACGTATGATAATTACGATAAACGTGCGCGTGAGTATATACGCGCTATACGCGCGGGTAGTATGATTATATTTATATAAAAGTGCGGGACAAAAATAGTGATTGACGAGACGATCCTCGCCGAGCCGATAATGAAATCGTTAATTTTCCTTTACGTATATGTAGCGTTGGGCTCGCTCGAAATGTAAATATTGATTAATCATACAAATATCCCAACCCCCCATCCCCCACCAATTAATTGGGTCTCTGGTATTTAACGTTTGTTGAAATTTATTTCGAAAGGGGTTGCGTGGCTTGTGGAGGAGGGTAAAAAAAAAGCTAACCCTGGAGAGCCATTCAAAAACCTTATCGTGTGCGCGCAGGGTCCACGTAAAAATGCACTAAAACCTCCCCCCCCCTTCCTCTCTTGCTCAATTTTTTCATTCAACGCGGCATAATACGTACATACGAGGTATGCATAACTTGCACCGCTGGAAAAGCTAGCTCCGTTTTCCCCCGAAAAAAAGGGAGATTTTCAGAATGCCATGGCCGCGTTTACGGAGCAAAAAGGTCGTCTTTTACTGCTGGACCCACCCCCTACTCCCTTTTTTTTGGTGCGTGCGTAAAGAAGGCAAAAAAGAGAAATGGAGTAAAATAGATACGCGTATGAACCATAAAAAAAAGAAAAATAAATGAATAAATGAACAAGCCTAAGGGAGAGGACGACGAAAAAGAGCGATCATTTCATCCCCTCTCGCGTATACCCGTTGCACATATATGTATATATATAGTGATGAGGGGGAGGAGGACGAAAGTTATACGGCATCATCAAGCCACTCGGTCGCGATAAAAATAGTCCCTTTACCTCGCGCGCGCGTGTATATAGGGTGTATAATATAAATAGAGGAAGAAAAAGAAAGGGGGACACCACGTAAGATCCGCGCCGTTGATGCACTCGCGTAGGTATGTATATATATATTTCGCGGGAAAGAGCAGTATGTACCGGGGCTAGATTTATCTCTCGCGCGTCTCTTTACGGGCCCCTCGCTCCTCTATACAGTACTCTGCCATTTTTTTTCCCCCACTTACCACTATGTGTGTGTGTGTGTGTGTGTGGGTTTCGTGGGTTCTAGTATATTATATCGCTCTCTCGAGAGCCTCGTCCAGGAGTAGGTATAGAGTTAGGGCGAGAGTGCATGTATACGTGCATACGTGTAACTTGAAATAAAGAAGGGCGCGCGTGCTGGGAGACCAGGTGCGCGCTGACCTGTCGCGTGTCCGTATCCTATACCTACTTGTATGAAGACACACACATCGAGGAAAAAATAAAGGAAAAAGAACACGCTGCTCCCCCCTCATCCTTTTTATTCTTTCTTCCCTTCGCATTAAATATATATATATATATATATATGTGTGTGTGTGTGTGTGTGTGTGTGGGTTTCGTGGGTTCTAGTATATTATATCGCTCTCTCGAGAGCCTCGTCCAGGAGTAGGTATAGAGTTAGGGCGAGAGTGCATGTATACGTGCATACGTGTAACTTGAAATAAAGAAGGGCGCGCGTGCTGGGAGACCAGGTGCGCGCTGACCTGTCGCGTGTCCGTATCCTATACCTACTTGTATGAAGACACACACATCGAGGAAAAAATAAAGGAAAAAGAACACGCTGCTCCCCCCTCATCCTTTTTATTCTTTCTTCCCTTCGCATTAAATATATATATATATATATATATGTGTGTGTGTGTGTGTGTGTGTGTGGGTTTCGTGGGTTCTAGTATATTATATCGCTCTCTCGAGAGCCTCGTCCAGGAGTAGGTATAGAGTTAGGGCGAGAGTGCATGTATACGTGCATACGTGTAACTTGAAATAAAGAAGGGCGCGCGTGCTGGGAGACCAGGTGCGCGCTGACCTGTCGCGTGTCCGTATCCTATACCTACT